TTAGCATTTAAATGATCTGGCCTCAGTCGATTTCAGCTACAGTGCTTTCTTGGGAAAAACATCAAAGATGGGGTGGGAGTGGAGGGGAGGAACGAAAAAACAGTGAGAGTTGAGGTGATGAACTGTTAACATCACCTTCAAGTTAGTGGGTTTTGAGCACGTGCTTTGCAATTGATAGAAATGCACTGAAATAATCTGTCACAGCAGCTTGTCATAGCAAGCATGTCCCAGATTTAAGAATGGACTTTTCTCTAGAATAGAGGTGATTTATTGGTAACTTCATAGATTGAATGAACTACACCCTTGTAGTGTGTGCTCATGCACTGAGTTTTTATGCAACTCATGCATCATCCAAAACCAAAATCCTGGTCTTCCTTCAACCACCCTACTTCATCTACCCTACCTGATCTGTTACCTAGTGCTTTTCCTCAGAAATAGCTTTAGAACTTTCTCCTGGTTTATTCACCTGCCCTGGCACCAGGTGATTTGGAACTCTAATGCTGTAATAATTTTGGCCATGTTTGAGCTCAACTTCTGTGCCAGTCAATAGGAGAAAGGGACTACAGCATTTCCTCCTTCTAGAGGACAAGAATTCTGAGGGCCTTGTTTTTCAAGACCAAATTGTGAAATAGCTCAATCTAGCTTTGACTCACATTTGTGTTTTGTTTGGTTTGTTTTGTTTTAAAGTATCCAAAGGCCATTCAAAACAGTAAATGATATAGAACAGTAATTGAGAAGGTGCGATAATGCTGGAGGAGGTTATGTTATTCAGCTTCAGGTGAAAACTGATCTTTAGTTACTCCTTTAGTGCTTCTTTAGTTGATTTCCCAGCAAAAGTGCCTTTACTCATGGTGAGGCAGAAGTTTGTATTCGTATCCTGAGGCTGCTACTGCCTGTGGAGTTGACAGGACTCTCCTATGGCATAATTAAATATCAGGCTGTGGAAATCTTCTTATAAATAAGTTGAGTTTTCAGATAAATTAGTTATAATTCATTTAATGCTCTGTGAAATAATGGGGATGTTGATGAAACAGTGAACTTGGAGCACCTGTTGTGTTTGGGAAGTTCTGTCCCAGACAAGAGGAAGTCTTCAAAATAATGGAAGCATGTCCTATGAGTAGGAGATGCTGGCTGCCCTCTGTTTACTGTGTCATTTTTTTATTCTGAGTGAAAGGTTGGTTCACAATAAGAGACTCTGGTTGCTTCGTTAAGCAACCCAAAGTGGGGCTTATACATGTCATGATTTTAGTAAATCTAGCCTTAATGTGAGTTGCAAATAAATGTGATAAATATGCAATAACTTACTTCTTTGTATAAGGGTACCGTTTCTTTTAGTAGTTTCTTTCTGCTTTCTCAGTAAGGTTTCTAAAATGTAAGTGTGGAGGTATGTGATCTACCCCGTGGGTTCCACCATGCCCTGCACTGTGAACATTTTGTTTACTTTGTATTATTTCACCATCCTTTTATAATCGTATTTCTAAGTTTAGAAGTACTGTTTACATTATCTTCCGTAAAACAGTGAAGAAATAGCAAGTGAGATCTAGGCTTTAGTTCTGTGAGTTTTTACTTTATGGGAGCCAGACACAGAGAAACAAGTAACTGTTTGCATGTCAGACTCAAGAGCTGGTATCAAGATACTTGAAAAACAGATTAAGTCAGTTTGAGAATGCTTGCGTGTAAGGGGTTATTAAGATTATGAATGGTCAGTCAGTGTTCTTGAAACTAAAGAACTTGTGGAATAAACAAACTTTTAACAAACAAACCTACCAATGTGCGGTGCTGGGAATCTAGTATTACTTTGCAGTTTCCTAGTACTACATGAACTTCCTGCTTTAGTATGAGGTTTTGACCATCTCTCCTTCACAGAATGCTCTGTACTTTGACCTCAGACTGAAGAGTGTCCTGCCCATTTGAGTGACATATGTTCTGTGCTGAAGTGCTACTAACTTCAACTCCTTGATGTACATCCATCATCCAGCTTTTGGAAGTAGCTGTGTCTTACATGGTTTGAAGTCTGGCAGCAGTGGTTATGGGAAGAAGAGGGGAAATAGCTTTATTTATTGCACAATCAAAGTATTTTTTTTTAACACAATGTAAATTCTTTAGACCAAATTTCCATATAGTTTCTAATAAAATTTTGGGCCTAGTCTCTGTTCCAGGCTTCTGTGCTGTGCTCCAACCTTCCTGAATTAATTTGGTGATTTGAGAACAATACACTGTGTTTTACCTTGATCTACCTGTGGCCATTACAGATGTAACCGTTCCTTTTGAAAATAAGGCAGGCTTTGGGTCTGACTATTTCTAACATACTTGGTCTCAGATTGTAGTTTCAAATAAGTTATTTTTTCCAGCCTTTACTTTCTGTAGTAGATATGCTTTTGCACTCATGTCATTGTGGTGTGAAGAGCAAGAGTCTACATTAAAAATCCAAGCTCTGATATCCTGTGGTGTAAGACAGCACTGCTGCTCCATGGGTGACTGGCTACCCAGATCTGGGGTCAGTGGGCTGCTTAATCCTCAGATACCTGTTTTTTTTTTTTTTTTATAAATTCTGAGCAACAGGTTTTTCTTCCAGATGTAAAGTCAGGTGCCTTCATGTTTTAAGTTAGGAGGTTATACTCTTAAATATGCTAGGAAGCTCATAGTTATTGAGAATTGGTAGAATAGTCTCCTTGATGATTTAATTTCTGTAAATAAACCAATTTTAATTCTTGCACTGTAAATGTTAAATAATCTGGTGCTTATACATGACTTCATAATTTCAGATTGTTTTTGTTATTACAGTATTTTAGCTTTTGAAACAACAAAAATTATTTAAGATATGGTAAATTTCTACAAACTGAAGGTGCTTTTACAGTAAATTAGACTTGGAAATGTCACTATTCTTCCATAATGGGTTTTTGTTCGTATGCATTTATAGCAATAGTGTAGTTCAAGAATGAAAGTAGGCTAAATGATAGTATTTGCACTGTTCTTAATCTTGTATGTAAGCACTGATAGATACAGTAGGATTTGTGCTGTGTGTGAATTTCATTTTCTCATGTAGATTATGAACTTAAAAGGAAGACTACGTAGGTAACAATTACAATGGCAATATTCAAGATCATGGGAAATTCCAGATCAGAAGTAGTACTTTAAAATTAAATGCTTGGGTTTAAACTTGTATTTTCATTGAAAATGTTAAGTGAGATTTAACTTTTTATACAGATACAGCTTTACAGAAGCCCTTATCTTTAAGCTCTGGGATGCTTCTGGGAAGTCAAAGTGTCTTCAAGTCCTCCTTCAGTTCTTGCAGGAAAAAAAAAAAGAAAGCTTCCCTTTAAGTAATTATTAACATTTCACAGAATACAGAATGCTTAAATTTGAATAGGCCTAAGAATTTTACTGAAAACGGAGTATTTTGTCATTTTTAAGCATTTATACTGTTGATCAGAAGAACTGGCTTGTTTCCAGTATGGGTTACAGTTCAGTGTCTTTAAGAAAATGATTACAGCTCATGGAGCATTAATCATTTTTAAAAAAGGCATTTGTAGCTTTTTAAGAATACAGATCCTGCAAACACAGTTCTCTACAGCACACTTCCTGCTGTGAGAAAAAAAACTTGGCAATTTTTTTTAAGCATGTTTGATCAAAATTACTAAACTATAGAAATTAACCATCTTACTGGTTGGGTACATAGTTTTGTTTGCAGAAAAAGTATGCAAAACTGCATGATCAAGAGCTCTCAGCAAATACTTCTCATGCCTATACTTGCAACAGGATCCTTCAGTAAGGATGTCTGCAAGGCACTGCAGTATGTGGAAGTTGTGCTTCATCTCTAAGGAGCCGTTTAGCTGCATTTGCAAGGCACTTTTAAAAATAAAAAGTGAAACAAGACTCTACAGAAGAAGGTGGGGGCTTGTCCATTACTTCTGGCGTAATAATGCAGGATCCCGGCTGACTTGGGTATTGTTTCCAAAAAGTAACATTTTTCAGGGCAGCATTGCAAGCCTGGCAGAAAACAGGGAGCCAGTGTTTTATTATATGGCTCATGCATGAAGGGTTATGTCTTCCTCCTCTGTTTAAAACTCAAGAACTTGATCTGTTTTCCTCACTTGTATGTAAATGGCACATCAGTGCCAATTAAGTAGAAAGTATGTACAGAAAGGGTTAAAATCATTACAGATTTTATTAAATTTCCATTATGTTCTTTTGAAGAAAGTTTGCATTAGTCAACCCTTCAATTGTATTAAGTAAAATCTGTAACTTACCTGTAACATCTGCTGTACTAATGATTGTGATTTTGTTATGAATTGATTCAAAAACTGAAGCACACCATTTAAGAGACTATGACTAAGTTGACATTTTCTTCTATATTTTCTCTGTAAAATTAAATCACTTTATAAATAAACGTATTGAAGTATGAATATAAGGACTGCGGGTCATTGTGAAACGTAAAACCTGTGCTGCTGGTACAGGTTATTCTTTCACTGCAGAAAGATTTAGGTGTTGTCTTAAGCCAGTCAGCAGCAGTGATTATACATAATACCAGGAAAAGAAGTATTATTTTTTAAGGTCAGTTGCAAATGTGGACGAGGAGCCCATTCAACACAACGGAAAGAAAAAGAAATTAAAAAGGTGTTGGATGTACTGGAGAAAGGAAGTGTGTGAATTTCAGTTAGTGCTTTTAGAGTACTTATGAAAGATGGAGGTTTTGGGTTTTTTTTTTTTGGTCTATATAACTTGTTATTAAAAGAACTGGATGTGTGGAAACAGTTTCACATGTGCCCTTTTGTTTCTATAAAGTGTTCATTGAAGCTGTAGAGGGTTTGGGGAAAGTACTAATATGTCACCAACTTTTCATGGCTCTGTAACGGGAACTTTCCTGACAATGGCACACCACATCTCCCTCAGTAACTTACCTTGGAGATGAGGTACCTCTGTGTCTAAAATACTTGTAGGCAGCCTCATTCAACAATAAGATGACAAGTTATGGTAAAACATCTCCAAAGGCAAAGAAACAGCATTAGAAATTTATTCAGAATATAAGAACATTTGTAAAATAAGTATTATAAATGCCTCTGTATAAATAAATGCAGTTTTTTACAATTCTATATCAAATAAACACAAAATAGCTATTTTACAGCTGCTAGGAAACTAAAAAGTAGCAACACATTTAAAGCTAATTCAGTATGGTGAAAAATTTATAAAGTTACAATGTATGGTGCAATATTAAAAGGAGGAAAAAAATCCTAATAAAACCAGTAGAACAATACTGACATGAATGCAAACTTAGTCACATGTGCTTTGCAATAGCTAACAGTACATTCAAGCTGGTGAAGACTTACACATATAATTAGAAAAAAAAAGTAAATTTTTTTTTTCTGAACACACTGAAATACAAAGTTTCGTGCACTCTGGGTACTTAGAAAAGCAAAAAGTCATTAATGGACTTAGGTTTTGTTGGCAAGAACCACCTATATTTCTTGGTTTACCAATGTATTATTTCTGCAGCATTAAAAGTTTAGTTGCTGTGACTCAAGGTGCATTGCACACTCATGTATCTTGTGTGCTGGTATTTCAGAGTTGCATGAACAGAGTTGTTAAGTTTTTTGGCTTTTTTTCTCAGGCTTGGTGCCATTGTAATGGCTACATTGGAACTACAGCAAATTATTAATATTGAAGAGTTTTCACACTACACTAAACCTTTTATTACTTACCTGCTGATCTTTTCCAGCATGCCAACAAATCAATCAGTAGCTGCTTGCCTGGGCAAACTAAACTGGTGCTCTGGCAAACTGTGGCTGCTGCTGAGGCTGTGTGATATCAGTGATTCTTTTTCATCTACAAACCCTCTGGGATGAAAATGGCTTACATTTACTGATGATTTATAATTCATTCTAAAGCACTTTCAGAGCACAGTTTGGCAGGGAAGATACACAGTAAACACAGTGAAATGGCATCAGCAAATCCTGAGGACTGAAAAAAGCACTGAGGGACGGTTGCAGCTTTTTATGCCTCTAAACCCAGGTGCCTGTTCAGCCCTGAGAGGGCAGGACTGAGAGGGAACCTCATCAGTGTCAGTGGGTGTTGGAGGTGTCAGAGGATGGATCAGGCTCTGCTTGGGGGTGCCAAGCAATGAGACAAGAGGCAACAAGTAGAAATTGATCCTGAATAGGAGGAACAAATTCTTTCCTGAGGGGGTTACTGAGCACTGGAGCAGGTTGAGCAGAGAGGTTGCAGAGTCTCCCTCAGTAGAGATATTCCAGAATCATCTGGATGCAATGCTGAGTAACCTGCTCCAGGAAACCTGGCTTGAGCAGGGAGGTTGGACCAGATGACCCCACCAGTGGTCCCTTCCAACCATTCTGTGTTACTGTGTTTTTATTCTTTCTTAATTTGTACCTACAGTTTAAAGACGGATTTAAATTCAAGTGGTACATAGAAATTTTTTTAGGGAATAAATTCTTTACTGTGAGTGTGCTGAGGCACTGGAACAGGTTGCCCAGAGAAGCTGCAGATGTTCCATCCCTGGAAGTGTTCAAGGTCAGTTTGAATGGGGCTTGAAGCAACCTAGTGTTGAGGGAGGTCTCCCTGCCCACAGCAGGGTGGTTGGAAGAAGATGATCTTTTAAAGTCCCTTCCAAATAAGAGCCTAAGAGGCAATCCAGTGTAGTTGTTTCTAGGCCTCTTCATTGAATGGTATTTCACATGGACATTTTGAGATGACCTCAAATCAGATGGATGTTTCAGATGCCAGAACTGCGTTTTTGCCACAGTACACAGTGGATATTTTCCTTTGCATTTCTTCTGAAACAAGTGTGCTCAGCTACAACTGAAGCTTATGGCAAAACCTCACATTCCTGTTGGTGAGAAACTTGGCCGAAAAAGGGAAATGCCATAGAAAGCAGCTAAGCAAAACCATAAAGGCAGCAGAAATCAAAGTGCCTCCTCCCTCAACAGACTGGTTTGCGAAAACTTCCATTCCCATTGTAAATTAAGTTCAATTATCTTGAGAAAGAGGACTGATCAAAACCAATCCCAGGATGTTACTAAGAATTTTGAAATCAGCATTAACTTGCTGTTGCAATCAATCATGCTGGCTTTGTAGATGAAGTATCAGGCTCTGGAGAAGTAGGAATGACTATTTTAAGGAAAGAAGACAACAGCAGCTACAGTAGAAAGAGATGAACACCAACTGCCACAGTTTCAGATGCAACCAGGATGCCATACTCTGAATACAAATTCCCATATTTTGTCTGCCTGGCCTAACCCAACAGTAGACAAAAACAGTTAAAGTCATCTAAAACTATTTCCTTAGTACTAGAAATGGGAGGAATAAGTGAGAGAAGTTATCATCATTCTAAATACACTTGTAAAGCTGGAGGTGCAACTCAACACGTAAAGCAAAAAGGATGAATGACTCCTGAAATCAGATTCCCTAGGAAATAAGCCTGAAAAAAAAGCAAAGCAGAGGTGTAACATAGTAGCAGGCTAGCACAGTGAATGGACTCCAGTTTGGCATGTTAAAACACACATGGAAGCTCTTTTACGTACTCTGTCAAAAATAAGAAGATTCTGAACATTACAGGTCCTATGGTAGACTCCTGTATTTTGACCTCAACAGAAATCAACCTTATCCCCATGATTTGCTTAATGTTCATTAACATAATAGGGCATCATTTGCAATTCAGTCAGTTTGATAATACAGTAATATGATGTGACTTAAACGAAAGAAGAACGTTAGCAGTAACAAAAACTAACCTAAGAAGCTGTAAGACTTCACCATTCACATTCTGTTTGTGACAGGATATCCATACATCTACACATTTATAGTTTTGTGCCTATGTATTCAATATTAAACAGGTACATTCTTAATAAGTACCTTTTTTTGGTCAAAAAAAGTATTAAAAAAAGACATTCTACCTCTTGATCACAGTAAGCCACAATAAGCACTATACATGTGACAAAAATGGCCCAGCTTCTTAGAGAAAACCTTGGCTATAATGTATTAGCAAGAAAAAACAATTCTTCCACAAAGTAGTTGCAAACACCATGCAATATAAATACCAGGAGGTCTCCTATAATTTCTTACCCACCCTTGGCTCAGACCATCTACATGGAGTGGTGAAACTCACAGCCTTTAGCCCTCTTACAAACTGTAATAAATAGACCATCATCATGGTTCTCAGAGATGCAACTACAGTTTCTTGGTATTTTTCCAAATCAACAGGAATTTTCCTACCTGATCTGCACTGTGAGCAGCAGTATTGCAAATAGGGTGCAAAAAAGCAAGGCAGCCTGTCATCCCGCCTCTCTGCAGCTGCCCATTTGGTTGATTTAACCACAACAGCAAGTCTTTCTTGAGGGTACAATATAGACTTGTGTGCAGAGGGAGCTCAGGGACTGGGAAAACTCTTAAATGATCTCCAAGCAACCAAAATGAAAACCTCTCAAAATTAATTATTTTGCTATGTGAGACTGTCACCCATGGGACGTATATAAAATGGAAGAGAAGCTGTATGAATATAGACATAACGACACAGACAATGTACATAATTATAGTATGATAATTCAGGCACTGCCATTTTACATTATGAAACAGTTCTTAAGGTTAACATTTTTATTATCCCCATGACACCTCTCTGGGATCCCAGAGAAGGTGCTTTAAGTGTGTCAGCATTGACAGTCAGAGCTTTTAGCGTTTGAAGCTCCCTAGAAGTCAGCCTTCAAAAGAAAGAAAGTTGAAATGGCACTAAGCATCCTTTAAAGAGATGCATTTAAAGTGAAGTTTCATTGGTGTGTGGTCTGGAGTTCTCTTCTTCCAGTAAAGCTATTCTTTGTTTGAGCATCCTCACTTGTGTTTCATGTCTCTCCACCATGGCCATCATTTGCGATTCCAGTTTCTTCAGCTTATTTTGATGCTTTTTCTTTGCTTTTTCATAAGCTGCTACCAAGTTGCTGTTAAAAACACAAGTCAGTACAAGGTAATTCAAAAAGCCTTGTTCGTAGCAAGTGTTACAAAAAATCCACCCCAAAGCCCCACCTTCAGAGAATTCCAAAGTTTGGGTACTTATAATCTTCCTAAAATTTACCACTGCTTTAAAATGGATTAGCTCCAAACCTTATTGATTCAAATCCAGATCAATGCTAACGTCCATGTCTTTTCTGGGGAAAGCACATACCTCTACCACTACACTGGTAAAGGAAATATGTTTAAACATGGTTCAAAGAGGCAGATAGAGGTTGCTGAGTACTGTTTGTGAGTCAGGATACCACAACATTAAACATGTAATGATTTATAAGAACATTGCATGGCCAGAATCTTTTTAGAAAATCCAGGACTGATTTTGCATTTTCCATTTTAAAAAATCACACTTACATTCAGAGGATGGCATCCTTTGCTAATTTATCGGCTGCTGGGTAGGTTCTGTGCCTCCACCCTGACTAAGTAGGAAAGCTTGAGGAGGATGTTACTTTTCACCACAAAGGCTTTCAGGTTTAATTTAAAAGAAAAACTGCATTGTGAGTGATAGGTTCCTTGCAGGAAGGCAGCTGCAGTCCACCTTATTCCTAATCCATCCAAGCACAGGGCCAGTAAAATGCCCTGAGTGAGCAATACAGTTTAACTGTGATTATCCAAGAGAGTTTACTAATGAAGAGAGTGGAGCCGAAGAAAACGGAGAAGTTTAAAACAAGGTAACAAATTCATAAATCTGAGTTTTGTTTGTTTCTGTAAGTGCATTTACTAGTAACTCAGTTAAGATTAACCTATTTCCCTACCTCTGTTCTTAACTATGTAGTTGTCAGTGGCCTACATGGGAGGTTGAATAACTCCCACATCTCTAACTAGAGCCTTAAAGACTCCATGTGTGTGAGTACAAGGATCCAGAAACTTCTCATTAAGGTAAGGGGAATATTACAGTTCATTACCAGAACACAGAAAGAAAAAAAAAAAATCAATGGCACATCCATCTGCTGGTAGGTCCTTTACCTGTTTGCCCTTTTAAGGTCATTAACAAATTCTGCAGACTGCTGATGTCTGATCTCACTGCTCTTTGTGAGCCTCTCCAAAGCACTCACTAACTCCTGCACTCTAGCCTTCAATTTCTTCTCCCTGGATCAGGAAAAAAAGAAACTATGTTCAAAACAGAAATAACACTTCAGCTTGTAAGTGCATGAACACTTGTCCTGTGCTGGGTTGACAGGCTGAAAATATTTCCCTTATTACTACTTGGATAATACAGGAGGTAGTTCTTACAATAAACTTTCCCAAACACTGATATTTATAACAGTCACCATAGTAAACTATATGATCAGAGGTACAATGGAAAAAAAAGCAAACAAACTTCTCTGTATGCATTAAATCACACGAAGAAATAAGCACAAAGATACATAAATAAAAGTTTAAGAATACCTGGAACATGCCACCTACTGTGTCTTGAATGAGATAGCATAGAAAACTACCAAAGGCACTCAAACATCATGACAAATTTTAATTAAAAATAGCATACCAACATTGCTATTAAAAATACTTTACTAAACAAATTTCTTTTTACACAGAGAACCACAGAATGGTTTGGGTTGGAGGGGACTTCTAAAGGTCATCTAGCCTGACATCTAGTAGGGACATTGTCAAGTAGATCAGGTTCCTCAGGTTGCTCAGAGCCTCATCTGACCTGCCCTTGAATGTTTCCAGGGATGGGGCACCTACCAGGTCTCCAGGCAACCTGTGTTTCACCACCCTCTGAGCAATTCCACTGATTTCAGTTACTGCCTCAAATTTACTCAAGTAATTCATATTTGAGTATAAATATAAATACAGCCTGTATTACAGTAACTATTTTTTATAGAGCCAGCAAGTCCAGTCCATGCAGCAGTGAGAGAAAGTTAAGAACAGGAGATGGGAGTCCAGACAGAAAAGGCAAGCACAAGAAATACAGAAGAAGAAAGAGCATTTTATTCTATGAAGGACTCTTCTTTCTTTCAAACAAGCCAGAGTAGTGAGGCTTAAAATCCTGGTATAGTTACTACCACTTAATTGGTAACTATGAACCAGAAGCTAATTATATGAAGTGTGCCAAAATGGAAACAAGGTACCTTATAGTATTTTTACATGACAAGTATCTCTATAAGGAAAAGAAAAAAAATGAATGAAACAGAAATTCTGGGGAGGAACAAGCATTACAGCTTGGGGATTAAACTGGCTTTAAAAAGCATTTCCTAGCACAGGTAAGCATGTAGCATGAGGCAGGTGCTTCTCCCTGGGAAGCTCCCTGCTCAAAGCTGAAGGCTGCCCCACTCCTACAGGACACTGTCACTATGCTGTTGTGGAGACCCAGGAGCCTTTCCCATGACCCATCCTCACAGCAGATAGCCCAGAGAAGAAAACCATCAGATTTGGGAGGGGGAAAAAAAAAAGTTTTTAAGAATGACATGGAGCTGGGCTCAACTGGGACACAGATTTTGCAGTATCAAATCTTACACTCATGAACTTTATGTGTTTGAATGTAGACATTTGCCTGCCCTTTGCTGCCCAGAACCACTTTGCAGTGACTGGCCTCTTCCTCCTGTTTTTGCTGCAGTGCTAAGGTGAGTATGCTGGGTTTCATCTCAATAACAAGACGACCGCTGTCTCCCACACAAGCCCACTGGGAATGAACACCCTAAAAGCCTCCCCAGCTCTGAAGAAACCACACAGATGCTCCTCGAATCCCAGCTCAGCAGGCTGCAGTTCCGAGGGTGGCCTGGCCATGGCAGCCTTTTATCGCCAGAGACAAGGAGAGTGCCTGGCTTCAGCGGCTACAGAAGGGCTTTCACAAAGTCAGACGGGGAAATATTCCAAGTTAACAGTTTATCCCAACAGACTCAGACGCTGGTTTACCGGCAAAATTGAGAAGGACATAAGAGGGCCCTTGTTGATGAAAAATCATCAGTATTCTTTGTACGTCCTTTCATTGAAAGGAACATGCTCTGTGTTTTCAAATAACACAATCTTTTTCCCCAGCAGTTAAAAGCTCATGCCATCCACCTCAAATACAAATTTCATTTTTTATATACTATCTTAGCAGTCAGCACAGTCTATGGTCAAAGTCTGTGTTCTGCAAAGAAAACAGGAACAAAAATCCATTTTTTACTTGCAACAGAACATAAACAAGAAAACATCAGACTTGGCAGAGGTCAGACCTAATGTGTTTGTGGCATGGCACTACTGATATGAAGAACAGAGTAGGGTAAATTTGGTGCTTGCCTGCTCCAGGGCCACAGCCAGAGGCTCTGGGAAGGTCAGTAACACCATGCTCAGCACATCAACCTGGCATGAACAGTGAGGCCAACAAAATAAACATGCACAGCATTTGGGTGGGCAGAGAAATCTAAAAACCACACGAGGTTGACTTAACATTATGTGCAAGAAAAGGTATGTCTGTGAAAACACTGCACACTTGGGAAAAAACCCTACAGAGCCATAGTTCACTGCCACTAAAGTCTTTGATACATCTGTTGTAACAAAAGCTGCGTGGAAAAGAAACACAGTGGAAAGACTTTGAGGAGCCTGTCATGCATGGTGAAGTTTGCTTGCTATGGTGACTGTTACCTGATAAAACAATTATATCACCTTTTGTCTGTCTTGCACTCATACCTTTCAGTCAGCGCTGTTCAGTCTGAACCTAGCTAAACATCAAGCTGTATTTCTTTACTTTTGGTCTATAACGTCCTTATCTTGCTGCTTGTCAAAGACACAGAGCCAGCACCCGGGGCCTCCACAAGCTACTTAACTTTCAGATGCTAGATCTGAACCATCTAGCTAAATAGGTAACAGTGGGTAATACTTCAAACCTATAGATGACTCAAACTTACATTTACACATGTAAAACACATGTATTCCTTTGGCTTTGAAGTCAGTGAAAACAGCACAAGCTAGTTCCAATTCAACCTTAATCTCATGGAAAACAACTGGATTTTGATTGCACATGCTGAAATATCCCAAAAATCTTCAAAAACCCCAACCCACAGGGATCTACACTTACACCTTCTGTTCCTGATTTTGAAAATGCCTATCTAAATATCTTTACTTCAAGAGACATTTCATAGTACAAGTAATACCTGAGGAGACAGACGCAGCAGCAACGGTAAAGGTACAGTATCTTGTTTTAGTCTTGGAAATGCAGATGCACAAACACCTGGCTAATGACTATTACATGCAAAAAATATGTCAGGTTTTCCCCATAGTGCTGCACCTTCTCTTTTAGTAGCATATCAGAGACCTCAGAGCTGACCAGCGAATTCTCTACCCCTTCCTTAAAATTCCATGCCTCACAATGCTAACTCCTCCCACTTCCCTCCATTTCTATCACTAGTTACCTCAGTCTGGTCAGACTGTCCTTATTTCTCTTCAAAACTGATTGCTTGGTTACACAGTGAACTGGACTGATAATGAATGCTGAGCTGCTATTTGTATTCCTTTAATACAGAACAGGGTTAGCTGTCTTATGGAATTTCTAGCACCACTTCACTGTCCTGATTGCTCCTTTAAATTAGCAGGATTTGAAAAATCAGGCACTGCAGGCTTAATATGGCAGAATATTTTAAAACAATAGTCATAGTCACATGCAGCATTTTTCCACTATGAGATGTCAAAGCTGCAAACCAGAGAAGGAACTGCATTTGAAGTGACAACCATATGAACATCCTACAACAAGGATCATCATATGGCTGTGGCACAGATTTCTGCTGCCGGTCTTCCAGAGTCGAGAATCCAAACTCACATGGAAGCTTACACACCAAATTCACACTGCAATTGTGCTCCAGGGCTGTAGTATGGACTTGTATGGATCCCAAAAAAGCATTTATATGTGTATTTTGATGGGAAGAGGGAAGGAGAAGAAACTATTTTTTCTGAGAAAACAATTTCTGTGAGCCCCAAACTCACACATCTGTGGGACTGCACAAGTCAGCACAGATTTTGCTCCCAAGAGCTCCTCCTCCAAGTGGCTACTGCAGCTGGAGCCACAGAAAACACAGCCATGACACCTTGGGTGCACAGAGGCAATGAGCAGGTATTCCCAGAAGAGGGAATGGGCTCACTTCCAACACAAGGGCTCTCTGCTGCGGGGCACTTGAGAAGTCAGCTAGGGAAATCCCTGACTGCTCCCTTTCCAGGGAAAAGCTCAGAATGAGTGTATTCAGAGGCTTACAGCCTATGCCAACATCCGCTAAAACAGTATTTTCAGTGAAACACATAATATGCTGGTAATAAAGACTTTTGTTTTGTATTTTCACAATCAAAACACTCAGTGGGCAGTTGCTAAGTGGTTTTCAAGGGTTTTTTATTTCAGACTTAAAGGATGACTGAATAGGAAGGGGATAACTGGTGTTTTTTGGTTTCAAGGTTACCACTGCAAAGGGTGGGGAATTCTGCCAGAGCCGTAAAGGAAACTATGTAACATTGGGCACATTTCTGCAGTTTCTGTCAGTTTGGCCTCCACACAGTGACACGGTGTTTGGCACACCGTGTTTGGGACACAGCAATGTAAGCAAGGTCACAAACACCTTATATTTTCCCTCCTGTCTGGGCATTTCCAGACATGTTCAGGTTTCACATGCTAGAAGTCTCCCCAGATTTTCCTGCCCTTACTCATTTCATTGAAAATTCCCCACTGCTGCAAACAGGAAGCTGCTCTTCTCTGGCATGCAAAAAGTTGATTTTTCTGTGCCTGCCTTGGAGTGTACCCAACTAACTCCCCTTCTTGTGAAAGCACCAGCTACCATCCCCCCTGCCCTGGGGTCAGGAGCACCACAGCTCCTGCCAAATCTGAAGCAAAAGAGGAACAATGAGCTCTCTCCAAATCAAGAGGTGAGAAAGTTTCCCACAGCCGGGCAGAGGAGCCCTGCCATCCCTGGGGCCATCCTTTTACTAATCAGGGTGCACTGCCTGCCACAAGCAGATCTCTTCAAATCCTGGCTCAGCTGCCGGAGTGGCACCATTGGCTTCAGCTCAGCACCTGCCCCTGAGCTCTGCAGACACAAAACCCTGAGGCAGCAGCACCAGCAGCAGCCGAGCAGCCAGTCCACTGGGACAGAGGCCAGAGGTTTCCTGGGAGAAAGCATCCACACAGG